CAGGCCACTAGATCTTTCGGCAAAATACACTCGCGTTAAACAGCTCATCTTTTTAAAAATACATTACAATACATTTATTTTTTTTTGTCATAAATCCTTAACTTTTCGAAGAAACTTGAAGAGATCAAAAAGTTAGTAAATGAATGGGTTTTTTAGACATAATTTTTAAGAGGAAAAAATTAAATCGAAAAAAAAATTATAAGAAAAAATGTCATAGGGGTTGATTATTTCAACCCCTTACAAAAATAGTTCAGGGTTGAAAAAAATTCAAAAAGTGTAGTTTTATTGAGAGATAATGTTCACCAAGTTTGGTTTCTTTAGCTTGATGTACATGGAAGATAAAAAAGAAAAACAATTTTTTTTTACAATTTTAGGAGGGGCGTAACTTTTCAGGGAAGAGTTTTTTCAAAAAATTTTATACCAGACCCCTATTAATTTTCATCGGAGAATCGCCCCTTGAATTTTTTCGGTGTTATTTAGATACACCCTGTATATTAATGTGAATTATCTTTTCTAGCATAAATCTGTTATCAGGTGCTTCTTGTAAAAATTTCTCAACTGTATATTTGTATGTAACTCAATTGTCTTATTTTATTGCAGCCTTCAAAAAAATATTGTTTGCATCTCGATCTCGAAATGCTTTTGCGTTCTCGAACGGATATTTTGCCGCGCTAAGCTCGGCAAAATAACTTCCATTTTTGAAAGCAAAAGTACCATTTCGCGTTCTAGATACAAAAATAACTATTTGCGTTAAAATCACAGAAACCCCTGCACGTTTCCAGATATTTTGCCGGTGCTGATGGCCTTCTCCATAGCCTACTCCTTTCTAATGTTAGGAATCGTGATGTGCTCGATAGAGCTCAAATCCAGACAGCTGTTGCACACCANACTATTTGCGTTAAAATCACAGAAACCCCTGCACGTTTCCAGATATTTTGCCGGTGCTGATGGCCTTCTCCATAGCCTACTCGTTTCTAATGTTAGGAATCGTGATGTGCTCGATAGAGCTCAAATCCAGACAGCTGTTGCACACCACCTACAAGATTTTCGTGTTGTCCGTGGTGCTACAGTTCTTTGGAATAATGTTCGAGAGCGTGTGCTATTTGCGATACGCCGTCACCGGAATACCAGCCCAACAAGTAAAGCGATTGGGTAAGTAACACCAAAATTAAATAAATTTTGCAACGAAAACTATTAATACAAAATTCTGTTTAAGGGATGGTCCTGATGAGCGCCTCGGAAGCTTGCTTTCTGTTGCTCTTACTGCTACTAGCGAAGGGGTTCACGATAACTAGAGGACGGCTCCCTCTGGCGGCCAGCGTCAAGCTGACAATCTTCATGTGCATATACGTCGTCACGTATATAACCATTTTCATTTACGAAGCAAAGGTAACAAAAATTAAAGCTTAAAATTAAACATCATCAGTTAATGGTGATGTTATCTGGCTTGTAAATGTCACTTTTCAAAATTATAAATATTTAACGGCATATTAATTTTTTTAAATCCGTGCCTCCACGCATGCGCACCAAAGAATTGCGAGTTTGCCAAATCATGTGTTAAGAAAATTATGTTTTGGATGTTAATTTGATATCTATGAACTAATTTTTTAATTGTCAGTCGTGTATTTTGGTTATACAGGGTGTTTTTGTGATACCTACAGCGTGTTTAAGTATAAAATAAAGAAGCATAAGAAGTCAGGGAATATTTTCGTAACGTTTCAGGTGTTCGACCCCGGAGAAGTCCTGTACCTCTACGAATCCCCAGCGGGGTACGGTTTGATCATGCTGCGCGTCTTCGCGTGGTTCATGTTCATTTACTCCACTATATTCACCCTGAAACACTACCCGGAAAAGGTGACATACCAACAACACGCCGATTTTTTACCCGTAACGCACTTAACTGCTTCCAGGGCAACTTTTACTACCCCTTCAACATTTTCGGGACGGTGTGGTGCATCGCGGGCCCGGCGTTCATCCTCTCCGCCAACACCTACATCGACAAGTGGGTGAGGGAGTCGGTGGTGTGCGCCGTGCTCCTCTTTATATCCTTCGGGGGTCACTTGATGTTCCTCGTGAGTACGCTTCAAAGTTATCCCGGAAATCAGTCGAATAAACCGTTTAATCTTCGCGTAGATCTTAACGATGCCCTCGGTGGCCAACAAGAACTTCCCCTATCACGTCAGGACCACGCAGATAGGCATCATGGAGGCGACGGGGAACGCCGGTACGAGTACCATCGAACAGTTCAGTCACCACGTCTACGAACCGTCGACGAGTTTGAGGGAGCAGACCGTCATCATTCCGCTGACGAGGAGGACGGAAGAAATTTTCGAAGGTAGCCGATGCGTTGTTTGGGCAAATTTTTTTAGAAAGGCGTAAATGTCTCTATAATCGACAAAAACTAAAAAAAAGTGGTAAAAAAAGTATCTTTGATGCCACAAATTAATTACTTGTAGATGTTTAAAATTATGTCAAAAATTTGTATCTTGTCACGTGGTCAGGAATGCATCATGACGTCATTTAGTGCGACAGAGAACATAACCTGTTCGAAATACGAATGATAGAAGGTCTCCCAATACAGACATGACTTAAACGTACTTAACAGACGGGTGAAGGCGGCTCTGGATGAACTGGGCCAGGACAACTGGGCTAGGCACCTGGAGTCGCTGGATCCACAAGACAACAGCCTCTGGAAAACGCAGAGGGCCCTGCGACAGACCGCTCGCCGTAAAATTCCTCCAATCCACGGTAGTGTGGGGGTGGTTTACACGAACCAGGAAAAGGCCGAGGCTTTCGCCGATAGCCTGGAACTGCAGTGTAGACTGCCTCAGCTGCCCGACGAAGACGAGGAATTCGAGATAGTGGCTGAGCGCGCGGCCCGACGCGTCGACAGAGAGCCAGACAATGACATAATCCCCCCCGCAACACCTGACGAACTAAGACTGACAATACGCAGACTTAAAAACAGAAAAGNAATTGGCCTCAATGATTTGGGATCGAGGGGGATTATCCCTCTTTATCCTGCCTCATCTCGTGTAGGCCTGGACAGCCTTCGTAGGTGGGCCCCATCCGTCGTCTACCCCGACCGCAAATGCGGCCGGTGTAGGCGCTTTGTGGGACCTCCTTTTGTCCTGGCTGGGCCCCGCCGGCTAGGGCCCTTTCTTCTAACTATTGACTATCTTGTTACTTTGGATGGGGCCCACCTACGAAGGCTGTCCAGGCCTACACGAGATGAGGCAGGATAAAGAGGGAGATAATCCCCCTCGATCCCAAATCATTGAGGCCAATTTCTAGCCATGGAATAATGGCGATCGTACCATCAGATGATCCCCTCCCACTCATTAACCTTCTCGGTACTCGATCGCACTGAGTGACGTCACGTATTAGCGCAGCTGTAAATATCCGTTTAAATTATTTATTTTTGCTTCCTGATCACGAATCCGGTGTCAGAATTGAGCTATCACATCACAGGAATTTCCTAACCTCAAAAACAGGTAAAAAAATAGCAAAAATTCACGAAAAAGTGCTAGGAAAAATACAATTTTTTTTCAATATTCCAATGTTCATTTATATAGTTAAGACCCCGCCCAACGTGAATCCGCTGTCAGAATTAATGGTTCTTTTTCTAACCTCAAAAAAAACGGGTCAATTAAGGTCAGATATCACGAATTTTCCAACAATAACAGATTCGTGCCAAATTTGGTACACGGGGGTTTCTGGGTCGCTGATCACGGATCCGAGGTCAATTTTGCAAAATTCAACATGGCGGATCCAAGATGGCCGACAAAACTTTTAAAAAATAAGAGAATCGCAGCAAATTTGTTATACGGGGGTTTTCGGGATCGCTGACTACGGATCCGTGGTCAATTTTGCAAAATTCAATATGGCGGATCCAAAATGGCCGACAAAATTTTTAAAAAATAACAGAATCGCAGCAAATTTGACATATGGGGGTTTTCGGGGTCGCTGATTACGGTTTCGAGTTCAGAATTGCGAAATTCATTTTGGATTATTTTACTTTTTAACCTGAGTATCCAATCATGTGTTAACCTATCTTTTTTCGGCTACATCTTGTTCATTTTTCCTGTAAAAGATCTATTCACGGGTTGAATTTTGTGATCAGTGAACTCGAAAACCACGTATACCAAATTTGGCGCGATTCTGTTATTTTTTGAAAATTTGGTCGGCCATTTTGGATCCGCCATCTTGAAGTTTGCAAAATTGACCTCAGATCCGTGATCAGCGACCTGTATACCAAATTTGACGCGACTACTAATTCACGTTCGGTAGGGTCTTAACCATATAAATAAATAAACATTTGAATGTAGAAAAAAAATTCTTTGGATTTTTTCGTAAATTTTTGCTATTTCTGACATGTTTTTTGAGGTTAGGAAATTCCTGTGATGTGATAGCTCAATTCTGACACCGGATTCGTGATCAGGAGGCAAAAATACTACGGACAACATATGTCGCATGAAAAGTACAGACTACTTTTTTTTTGGGTGGCTGTGTTATTAACAACCTCTACGAAATTTTTCTATTGTATAAGGTTATGGAATATTTCCAGGCATTTAAAACTTGCGAGTTGACCATTACAATTATTATATGACGAAATAAATAGATATGTTTTTTTTAAGGGATGTACAACCAACGAGCTTTTGCGAGGAACAACGTACAAAACGATCACGTAAACGAAGAACAAGAGATCGCTAGGGACGTCGCTATACAGAACGTGTTGAATTGGTCTTTGGCCAAGGATCCCGAAGCCTTGGAAATTCCCAATTTCGACAGGTTCCACCATAGGAGTTCCACGGGTAAGTTTCTAATAAATCGTCGCACCAAATTTCCTGTAATCGACCTCATTTGAGAAAAAGACAAAATCACGGCATGCGTTTGCATGAAAACGCGCCAAAGCTGCTGCGACCTAAACATCTGCACGTCATTCATTTTATTATGGAACAAGTAACGTTTTTTTTTTTTCAGCCTCGGCCAACTCTAGATTAACGAACGGCAGTGACTCGAATGCGTTAAGCAGAGAGTCGTCGTTTACGAGAACCCAGGGCAAAGTCGTCCAGAACGGTTTCGACGATTACGTGAAAGACGTCCCCGTCGAATTGTTCACCATTAGCAGAATGGTGGTGGCGACTAGTTCGAGTAAAAGCGGTGTTCACGAAGAACATCCCGATTAGTGGTTTGTCAATGGTGTTACCAACAACGCCTCTGTTCGTTTCTTTGTGTGATATTCGAAAATATTAGTTGAAAGAAAGTACAATAGTTACCCCTAGTTTTTTATAAAGGGGAATTTATTTTGGTTACTTTACTAGTCTCTGAGTTAATGAGATAAGTAGACGGGGGTAAATATTGCTGAAATGTATTTTTTTTATTTCAATTTGAAATCAGGTGATTACGTTTTAATTGTATTTGAAGTGAAGGAAATCAAGGTAGTCATAGGCCATGCAATCAATAGAGGTTTTGTTTGTGACAAAAAGAAATAATTTGTAGAAAATCGAAATACGAATAAAACGAGAGGTCGATCGATCCGATGGGATAATTAGAAACGAAGAAAATCGAAAAAAAATTGTTGAATATGTAAAAAAACGCCTGGCAATAAAATTTAATGACTTTCATAGGCGTCCCTAAAAAAGTTTTCTGCTAAAGATAAAAAATTGTAATAATTTGTATATAATGTGTAGAAAATTTCTATTATATGTTCATTTGGCCAACAACATATTTTAATTATTTATG